ATTTGACTCCAATAAATAAGAAGAAGCTGAAATTTTATTCATACTGTCAACAACCATTACATTGAGTTTGAAAAGGCCCTCCGTGAGGTAGCCTTTTCCAACATACATTTCATTCTTGCTTACAACAACTATATCAGAAACAAATACATATTTGAATCCATTCTTTACAAGTAAAGAAGTAGAAACTAAATTCTTCTTAATAAAAGGAACATGGAGAACGTTGTTGAGCGTTAACACCTTGCTGGAAGTCATCTTCAGGAATATCTTCCCATAACCTTCAATCTTGGTTGTTGCATTATTTCCCATGGAAATCTCTTCTTCGGGACCAACAGTAGAGTAAGTCGCAAATGCTTCTTTGACAGCTCAAACATGTCAAGTGGCTCCAGAGTCAATCCACCACTCTTTCGGATTTCCAACTAGGATGCATTCCGAAAGCATTGCACAAAGATCATCAATGTCATCATTCTTCTCCACTATGTTGGCTTGTCCCTTATTCTTATCCCTCTTTGGGAGATGGCAATCAGGGGCTTTGTGACCAACTCTTCCACAATTATAGCAGTTGCCCTTGAATTTCTTTTTGTTCTGCTCCTTAGTTTGTCTAGAATACCTCTTCCTCTTCTTACTTTTTGGAGCAGTCTCCTCAACGATATTAGCTCCCATGATCGTTGAATTTCCACGAGACTTCTTCTCGGCTATTTTGTTGTCTTCCTCAATCTTTAGACGTATCACAAGATCTTCCAACTTCATTTCTTTGCGCTTGTGCTTAAGATAGTTCTTGAAATCTCTCCACGAAGGAGGCACTTTTCAATCATTGCAGCCACTTGAAATGCTTCATTCACGACCATACCTTCAGCAATAAGGTCGTGAAAAATAAGTTGAAGCTCCTGAACTTGGGTTCCCACAGTTTTGTTGTCTATCATTTTATAGTTTAGAAACTTGGCAACCACGAACTTCTTCAAGCATGCATCTTCGTCTTGTACTTCTTCTCAAGTTCGTCCCATAATTCTTTCGAAGTATTAATCGCACTGTACACATTGTACAAGTCATCCTCTAAAGCGCTTAAGATATAACCTTTGCAAAGAAAATCTGTATGCTTCCCCGCCTCAACAATCATGAACTTCTCATTGTCCAGCATGTCCGCAGCGAGCACTAGAGGCTCTTCACTAGTGAATTTCTGCATACCAAGTGTGGTAAGCCAGAAGAACACCCTTTGCTGCCATCCTTTGAAGTTGGCTCCAGAAAATTTTCCCGATTTCTCGGCCGGAGGAACAGTATTGCGGTTTGACGAGGCTATCATCGTTGCAGCAATAGTCGCAGAAGGATTTCCGTTATCAATTGTCATTTCTCACTGTCAACAACAGAAGAGTTCAATTAATGGCAAAACCAGAACAATAAACAATAGTGTAATTAATAAACAGTACGTATGATAAATAAAAACCAAAGTTTTTATATACTGTTTCACAGAAAACGATGAAGTTTTTATGTTCTTCGAATCATTTTCTGAATTTCAATACTCTGATGAAGTTTTTATATCTTCAAATCAGAATAGTAAAATTCAGAAGGAGTAGAAAACCACACAGGTTTTGATCTCCACAAAAAGAATACAGAATATAATAAACTAATTTCCTTAAGATTGTTATTCAATATGCATTGCTGTAAAATCAATAAAACAATAAACTTTCTGAAAAACAGAAATAGAAAGTTAGTAGAACTAGAACGTCAAAATAAATTCTGAAAATAGTGTAGGAATAAATCAAGCCCACTAAATACACAGTGTGTCCTTAAGAAAATTATTCCCCTCAAGTACCCGAGGTTATGGAATATATCCTCCCAGGATAGAACGATTTAACTCACTAGCGTATTGATACCAAAAACTCTGGTGATCGGCGAACCACTCAATGGTCATAAAACACACTGGAAATATTGTGCAGATGAAGAAGATGATAATCAGAAAATTTAGTAAGTAAAAATTCTAGGATTGAAGGAATATTTATAGCCCATTTGGCACTGTTTCTGAAAAGGTTTGCAACCTTTCAGAATAGCCACAACTGTTGGAACAGGTGGGGAAATATTGCGGGAAAAACAAACGGATTTAAAATAATCCGAGAAAGAAAACGGACCGGACCGAACTCGGGTCATGGGTTATTCCGGATTGAATTTTCGTTAATTAATTTAATTAATTAATTAAATATTTGAAAAGAATTTTGTACAAAAAGATTAATCAATCAATCGATCATTGACCAAATCCAAATCCAAATCCGAAGCCGAGCGACGATGACGACGGCGCAAGGCAAACGAATTTAAAATAATCCGGGAAAGAAAACAGACCGGACCGGACGCGGGTCATGGGTTATTCCGGATTGAATTTTCGTTAATTAATTAATTTATTAATTAAATATTTGAAAAGAATTTTGTACAAAAAGATTAATCAATAAATCTTTGACCAAATCCGAAGCCGAAGCTGAGTGACGACGTCAGCGGCGCGAGGCTTGCCTTCTTCCTAACTCTTTAAGAGCTAAAAGATTAGTTTCTCTATATATACACAAAGATTTTCTTTCCTTCTACCAACGAGGGACAAAGTGCATTAGTAAAGTGAACTAATTCAAAATTTCACTTCCCTCCATTTCTTTTCCCACAATTTTCTATTCACACCTCTTTTGTTATTAATAACAAAACCCAACAGTAAGTACTCTTTCATTCGTAATCAAAGGTCTCGGGTTGAGTCACTGGGTATGTTACCCCCGAATGTGGGACTTTCCGGCGCGAATCCGGATTTACTCGGGCCCCAGTATGAGTAGGCGGACACCAGGTGGGAAACAACAAAAAAAGAAAATGAATGAAAAGACAAGTCACTACACATCACAATGAAAGTTCTTGAGCTTAGACTTCATTTTTTCAAGAACCATTATTATTTAAAAGTTTAAATGGTTTGATAATCTTTACTACAAAGCATTGTGTAGTTTCTCAGATAGCGCCTAATTTCAAGCTCCCATCTTTCAGTTAAACGGGTAAGGGATGCACAGATGAAATACATCTTCTCAATACATATTAGTCAAAAGAATGGAATCACCATATAAAGATAATCAGGGGATTGCTCAAACTGCAGTCGCTTTGATGGAGAGGAAATCAGAAATCTTGTTGGCGTAGAAATCTGGTTGAATAGAGTTTTTGGGATCTTGAAGCATCGATACAGATGTCACACCTAGAACACGAGCAAAAGACAGTATTGGATGACAAACTTGAAGCATATACCTGAAAGGAGAACAAATTTTCTTTCTGATATTATATACCTGAGAGAACCAGAAGAGTTTTGCAACCACCATTTTGTCCGAACAGTATATCAGTATCTAGTCTGTCGCCAACCATGCATATCTGGGACTTCTGGATGTTAAACCTGTTGTAGTACCATTACAGAATATTAAGACAGAAAATGTTATTGAACGCCTGATGTGCACAGCTATACCGCCTAAAATACTGGACAAGCACATAATAAAAACTGGTCCATTTCTCCAAAAGATTTTCTAATATTCCACAGGATGATAGTTTTATGCTGATCAAAATTGATTATTCTTTTTTTCCTGTGAATGTGAACCTGAAAATGATAGAAGAATTGGATCCACGTGGATCAAGAAAAATCTTGGTCCACCACAATGCAGATACTGCATCACAAACATACATAACAACTAATCATGTGGATCCCTAATCCATTTTCAAATGTATGTAGTCAAGGGAGAATGTGTGAATTGTTTGATGAGGTCATTTTCAATGTTTAAATAGGAGCAGAAAAAGTTCTTCATCACTCATTTTTTTTAATGAGAGACACAAATATTACCTACATAAGGAAGATGCAAGCGTCAGGGCAACTGGTCAAGGCTAAAAGTATAATTATTTCACACACGATTTGAGCGTCAACACGGTGCTAATAATCAAACTTAATCCAGAAGCAAGGTAGTATAATTGTGATATTATAATTGTGACAAGTCTCGTGATGCAGCATTCACTATGGGATGATAAAGTATCATTACCAACCAAACAAGTATATTGTTGAAAGGATTAAGAATCACAGTGATTATAGAGCAGTAGTGAAGAGTCGATGGTCTTAACAAGACAAGTTAAAATTTCATTTACTTGTACTTGTAATGAGAAAATCCTGCATTTATAGCTATTTAATCTTTATAGCTAAAAGTTCACTTTTGGATTGACGAGCTTTTGGAGCAGTACTAACTTTTTAAATTTGTTGTAATCTACTAGAATGATAGGAAATCCAACACCACAACCAATCAACAAGGGTTGTGATGGAGTGGTAAGTACTCCTTCATCCTTAACCAGAGGTCTCGGATACGAGCCCCGGCCTGAAGTTGTTATTAGGGAGCGCTTTACCCCTTAATATAGGACTTCCCGGTGTGAATCTGGATTTAGTTGGACCCCAATGTGGGTAACGGACGTTGGATGCGGAACCAAGGAAAAAAAAAAGTTAATAATGACCTACATGTTAATTTGATTTTGCCAATGCAATAATGTATAAAACCTTGATGACTAAAAGAAGCTTGCCTATTTACACGCCAAAAGCCTGTATTAGAAGACAATGATCCAGAAAGCAAGAAAAGAAGACAAAGCAAGAATGACAGGTATAATTGTAGAAAGTGAGGTGCCATACTCATTAGCCAAGTAGTCCATCATGAAGGTTGAGGGCTTTCCTACAACAAGTGGTTCACGCTTTGTAGAGCCTAGGATCGCACCAACCATTGAACCTCCACCTGAAGCAACAGAACAGCAACAATGCAGCTTAGTTTAAAGACGGAAAAATTCTTTTATGGCTATGACTGTACAGAATGATCAAAGCAGAAGACACAAAAAGTTTTGAAATACTTTTAACTAGAGTAGGATCTTAACACAGCAATAAGTTGATGACAATGTAAATGCTAATTGAATAAATCTCCTCATCGTTCTAACTATATCGAATTCCTTGACTATAACAACTAACAAGGTTTCTCCAAATTAGGTTTATCCATACTACATCTCTGTTAGCAAGGATTCAATTTTTACCAATTAGATAAATGATTGTGAGGAAATGGTCAGCAAGTCAGATTCACGAATTGCAGTTCAACTTTTCTTGACCCGCTTTCTGACTCGAGTATGTAAGACAGAAATAGCACACTTCAGTTAGATTACCAAATTCTTCAGCTATTATACAAACTACACATATTTCTACCTCTTTTCTTCTTTGAGTCCTTGATACTGATAGTTCTTTTCCTCTTCTCTCAACTAACATGTATGCGTATGATCCCTCAATCTCCGTTATTTCTCTCATTTATTGACTTAAAACATCTACACAAATTTTCTCCCCTTCCATCTGGTCATAAAAATGATATAAGTTCCCATTTTTTGTTGTTTTCTTCCCTTAACATACTGTAGAGGTTTTAAGTCAATAAAAATCCTCTGCCACATAAGATTCCTTGAATCCATAAAGTTAAGCGACTGAAGACAAATTGATCACGGGACAAAGTCTAGTTTCAACATGCTCGTTAATCTCTTTCATATAATACAAACTCCAGACCCAGAAATATTAAGTCATTCGCAACGCCTGAACATGTGACATTATCTACGAAAATTCTGATAGTTCACTTCTTCACAACATATACTTTTGGACAATGAAGCTGACTTCAACGGAGAATGGATTCAACAACTAACTTCTACAATGAGCATTNAATCATGTCATCAACAGGTTTTGTATGTGCAGATAGTAATTATAGGCTGAATCAGGTCTTCTCACAAGGGGAATATTTTAGTGTGGGATAGATAAAATGGAATAGATGATCGGAACTTTGAGCAAAGAAAAAGGTACTATATGAGTGGTTAAGCATATATAATCCAAGCAAATGCATGAAAAAAGCTCACAAGCTCATTACTGGTTAAGCGTAAAACAAAGTAATCACATTGCTAGATATTATGCCGCAGGGAATATTGATGCAGAAAAAGTAAAAAGGATAACTCACTGAATTTTGTGGTAGTTGAAATAGCGGTCAAATCCAACAACAACAGCTCCGACCTAAAAGGTGTAGACACAACTCAGCACAATATATTTAAAAGATAGTTGAACTTGGTCAAATTTAAACGTAGAACACGCATGAGAACAAAATAAGATAAGAAAGAACAAATGAAGCATACATCCTTATCCTGCTCCATCATATATCCAGGCTTTAGCTCTATTTTCTTGTCACCATCTTCCTGTTAAAATAGTAAAACACACCATTCAGTTCAGAAGTCAATCTGGTACAAAAGGAAGGCCAAAGAAGGCATCGAGCAGATGTCTTTGTAGCTCCACTATTTTGCAAGTAAACATATTTTTGTGAGTATACCTACTGATTGAATCCATATAATCTATATGGAACCTAATTTTCCCAGATATACATTCCTTTTCTCCTTTTACCCTGAAAAGGTCGGTTGTTCCAGTACCTTTCCTAATTAAAATTGGGTGTTTTCACAAAGGGAAATGCCAGCTTATGTATTTTATTAATTTGTTGAAACCCCTTCTGTTAGAATGCTAAAATAAAATACAACAAGATGCACTTGTTCTTTCTCTTTATGTCAGTTGTCTCTTTTTAAAAGAGTCTTTTATACTTCTTTGGAGTAAATTGAAAGAAAAACATGAATTTTGGTTGAAAGATGCAAAATGACATGTATTCTTTCTCTCTTTTTGTTCTTTCTATTTTTTGTTGCAAGTCTTGTTATCTCATTCTTCTTGTCAAATAATTTATACTCGACAAAGAAAAACGCATAACAAAGACTTACAAAATGAAAGATATGCATTCAATTAAAAACAATGGTCTAAAATAACTATGGGATTTCAATTTAATAGTGCTTTCGATTAGATAACAATCATCTATATGGCTATAATACAAACATACACTACCATCTTATTTCATCAGACAAAATCCCATACCACAAGTATGCTTCACAAGATGAGAACATATCTCTAGTTCCACAGGTTAGTTAAAAATTGGTTGATTTATTTGAAGTAAAAAAATGAAAAACTATCATAAGCCAAAAGCTATTAACAATAAGATATATCATAGTTCATTCCCAAAGTAGAAAGGACTTCTATTTATTTGTACATACCGGTCCACCAATATGTTGAATGCCAGCTAACTCAAGCTCCTTCAAGATGCCTTCCTCACCAACAACGTACACCTTAAAAATGGCCACCAATTTAACAAGTAGTTAAATTATGATGCTGATAATGGATCTCAGCTTCTTAAGAAAATGGTATAGGCTTTCAGCAATATGTTTAAATCCATAATACTGTAGCTTTTATGCACCAGATAGCCTTCACGTTTAACAGTCGAATTACAATTGGTAAAACACTGTGAATTCAATTGAAGCTTACCTTTTTATCTTTTGGGAAGTCAATAGACTTCAAATAAGCAGCTGCAGCAAAGGATGAAGCAAAAATTTCCTCCTGTAAGGTGACTTGCTATTAGAACTATTGATCTACTAGTCAACATAATATGAACTAGAAGAGCTGTAAACTTACTTCGCTGACACTAAGACCAAGTGTTTCAAACTTTTTCCCATACTGCTTTCTAGACTTTGTTGAGTTGTTTGTAACAAAAACTAATCTTTTCCCCTGGAGAATAAAGTCCACAAAATTAGATAGAGCAACCAGTTTTCTCTTAAGAACTATGAATAGAATGCAATGAGCAATCTTGTAATCAGCAAATGTAAGTTATAAAGAATCCAGCATTAGAACTACTAACCTTTTCTCTGAGCAAATCAAGAGTTTCAGGGACCCTGTCTATTAGTTTATCTCCCTTCCATATGACTCCTGTAGATAATGGAGGAAAAAAGGACCTTATTTTAAGTAACTTATTCAACCTTTTTTGCTTACCATGTTAGGACCACAACACCAACATTCCTTTTCGGGATAATTTAAGAGACAAAGATGTCAAGGGAAAGGAAAAGAAACCTAGACTATCACCTATATTAAAAATGCTAAGAGAAAAAGGGAAATAATCAAAGCTTTTCTGCTATTTCCTATTTGTTTCAGTTGTAAATGTCAGAAGTTTTCATGCCTGTTTCTCATCCAGCTCGGTCTTACAACTCTAGGAGAAGTTTTCAAATATCTATGTATTTTGATAGGACTAGTTGCTTCGATTCCACTCATGTCAGCCCATAACTTCACTCCTCGATCGCTTTATATTTCTAGTGATCTAGTGATGCGGGAACAGAATGATAATTAGACTCCTATAGCAGTTCGGGAGCATCGGCATCTATTTGGTAGAATATAACGACCAGGCCAAACTTTGAACATGATCATCAACAATTAGATGATCTCTTACTATCTGAAAGAGAAGGGATCTCTTGGACATAATAGCTAATCAAATTATTTTCACTTAAAAGGCTCTACAATCAAGCAAACAAGCTGAAATTAAAGGGATTCATGCTATTTAAATCAGTTCGCAAGCTAAAAACTTTGAGTTGGAGGACTCTGAGCTTTTTGACAATGAGAGTCCAACCAATACAGTTCTTCTCTCCAATCTGAATAGAGATGATTTGCAATATCTATTTCAGCTTTTATACCCCTATGTTTGACACATTTGCTCACATTGATCTGCTCAAACTGATGTAGGGGAGCCTTGGAGCAATGGTAAAATTGTCTCCATGTGACCTATAGGTCAGGGGTTCGAGCCGTGGAAGCAACCACTAATGCATGCATTAGGGTAGGCTGTCTTCCCCGGACCCTGCGTGAATGCAGGATCCATTGTGCGCCGGCAAGCCCTTTTGATCTGCTCAAACTGATCAAAGCCCCAGCCTCCAATATGGACAATGATAGATTGATGAACATGTATATATATCGGGAAAAATCTTAATTCACATTCTTCCTAACATTACTTCGTTTAGGCCATTCCACTACAATCACAACAACTACCCCTTAATCCCGAACAAATTGAGGTCAGCTATATGAATCATCACTTCTCCATTTAAGTTCAACTCATATCATCGTCATATACCAAAATAAATTTAGGCCATTCCACTATCACATTAAAAAATGTAAGAAATGTTAAAATATCATACTTTAGGGGAATTAATTTAAGATTCTCATTATATATAAAATTAATTCAATGCATTCTATATGACCTATATCAGATGAAGGGGAGCCTTGGAGCAACGGTCAAGTTGTCTCTGTGTGACCTATAGATCACGGGTTCGAGCCGTGGAACCAGCTACTGGTAGGTTGCCTATATCACAACCTCTTGGGGTGCGGCCCTTCCCTGGACCCTGCGTGAATGCGGGATGTTTTGTGCACCGAGCCGCCCTTTCCCTTGTTGCATTCTATATCAGATGCCATATTAACATAGCGAGAGCTTAATGCTGGGCTGCTGTTCTTTTTATGAATGTCATTTAACCCACTAATCCTAAGTTGTCTATATCATGAAACAACACAAAAACACACACCCAAAATAAATTTAGCAAAAATATTAAACACCTTAATTACAACTTCCAAAAAGCCCACTAAAACACTGGGACAGAAAAATACCACTGAATTGATACACAAATTAAGATTAAATTAAGCAAATACAAAGAGTTTAGCAAGAAATTCACACCGTCACAATCAAAGATGAAGGTTTCAACAGAATCAATTAATTCTCCAGGATTTGTAAGGGGCTGAGCTGAAGCTCTGGTAACAAAACTTGATGCAGATTTCTCCATTCTTGAATTCCTACAATTCCATTTAATGGATTTTGCAGAATTGTTCAATGGGTTAGAAATGTAAGAAAATTTATTGGATAAGATTTTGGGGTTATTAATGAAAAGAGTTGTAGTAGTAGAAGAAGAAATTGCTGCTGTTACTCTGCTACTTAGCATTTCTCTTTTTCTTCTTCTACGCTTTTTTCTTTTTTGGTGGTGGCAATAACTGCTATAAAGTCGTTACTAAAACTGAATATAGAAAAAACTTTATTAAAGGAGGAAAAAGATTAAAAAATAAATGGTAGATTATTAAATTGTAACTGAAAATTGGAGCTGACGTGGGAAAATTGAGTGGATGAAGATAGTTATATCCGATTATGGAAAATGCAAGGCTGGAAATTAACTTCGTTTGTTTATTTTTATATGGTATGGACTAGAGGTTCAAAATTGTTAACAATGATCTTCAAGTACATGAAAATCAAAATTTTGAAAAACCTAAGGTGAAGATCAAACCCTAATGATGTTTAAATCATTCCTTATAAGCTGAATCTTTACTATTTGAAGAAGTATGAAATAGGTCAATCTCTTTTATTGAGTTACTCCCTCTCATCGACATAAAACATATATAAATCGTGAATTCTCAAACCGGGTCGACATGCCAGACATACGGGGACATCTAGATCTGGGTTCTAGTGGTATTTCACCTTAACCATAACTCATCCGTTGATTTTTCGACATCATATCGGTTCGGACCTCCACTAGCGGAGCTAAAATTTGTAGTTTACGGGTTCAGAATTTTAATTTTTTAAAGTTACTAAATTTTAAAGGAGAAATACATAAACGGTCTTTTAGGTTGTCCTCAACGATCAACTGAACACCTCAACTGAGGCCATTTCCGGCTAGACACTTTATTTATTCACAAAAGAAGATCAATTAAACATCCGATCATGTCAGCCCCCATCGCGTGAAATGCACTCTCTCGGACGCGAGTTGCCTACCTAAAATTAGGTTTTTTCTTTTCTTTTGCTAAAATAATGTGGACCCCACATAATTTTCACGCTTTTCCTCCACCATTCGACACCCTCCTCTATCCTAAATCACCTCTTCCTCCATTTTCTCGTGCTTAATTTCCTTTTGTTTCATGCCTTTCCACCATACCTTCACTTCGGTATACAATTTAACATATACTAGCTGGTTGAACAGAATTACAAAAGAAGAGAATTTATGATGGAGTTTTTGTTCAAGATTCAGTTTTTTAAATATCAAGTATCAATTTGTTAGTTTCAGTGTATTATTAATTTGTTGGAATTGGTTCTTAATTATCAACGCAAGGGAACTGTTAGTGGAAACGTAAAAGAAAGAACACAAGATTTAACGTGGTTCGGATCAAAATAATCCTACGTCCACTAGAGAACAGTTGCCTTTTTAATATTAACAAAGGAAGGGGAGAGTTCCCAATTACACTTAAGAGAATTTCTCTCTTAACTCTCTACTCACTACAATGT